GGGAAAGATCAGATCCTTACGTCTCCTTCAGAGCAAGTATATTACCATAACCTGCAACTCTTGCTATTCAAGCCATGAGATTTTTATATGTAGAAGCTCCAAGTGGCACTAAATTCCACACCATGCTACCAAACTGATTTTAGTGTTAACCCAAGATAACTTGGGTTCAAGCCTTTAAACACAATCTACCCTCCTCTGCTACAAAGGTGCTGTCCTATAAGAGTCACAAGAGACCAGCTCATCTTCACAAAAACCATACATTGTCCTTTAAGCCCACACATAATTTTTCATAGATGAAGCCCTATGCAGTTGTGTGAATAAACTGCAAACACTTGCAATAATTCAGCTTGCTTGAGCAAGATCCATTTTACAAATAACTCAACACAGGCTTAACTTCTGCCAGCCCCAACTAAATTAACTAAAAGAACAAGCACTTGATGTCTAGGGCTGAACAAAGTTTGAGCAACATCAAAATTTCATTTTTATCAAGTCATTTTTCTCCACCACAACTGTGTTAAAACACAATTTACAGCTAGTCTTTAGTCTCATTTTTAATATGCTATTAGTATCTATAAAACACATCTTACCTTGGTCTTCTGAAGAGACTGGTGACCTGGAATAAAACAACAAAGACCAGTCAATCTTTGGTATGGAAAGGCATAAGGTTAATAAGGTTTAGTGTCACTGTGGGGAATACAGAAGGGAGGAATTGGAAGGTTTTATTCTTGGGCTAACTTAGAAAGGAGGGCTGGAAAGCATCTGACAAGAAAAGAACAGAAAAGGGCAGAGAGAGAGAGCAGGTTCTGCAGACCAGAGTGGCTGTATGGAGTCATGTCCATAAAGCCGGCAACTACACTGTTAAGCACTCACGTCAAGAGTTTCTGTAGGTACTTAGAAAAGAACTTATCTAGTACTGTTACTGTTGGAAATAGCTGACATTACTGTTCAGGAAGTTCTGATCCTTCAGAGATTATTGAAGGGACCATAATTAAGTGTGGGCCAGGAGGAAACCTCACAGCTAGGGGTAGTTGAGGAAATTATAGCTTCAGAGGAACTTGCAGTCATTAAGGTGGCCATTTTTCTTACCATGAGTCAATGTGCTGGAGAGCATAAAAGACTAGTCATAATTAATACCAGTTCATGCCATCTTCACAAAAGCAACATAAACAGATGACAGGAAAGAAAAAAAAAAGGTCTGGACAGATGTAAGTACAATAAAAAGCAACATAACAGCAGCAACACAGGAGTTACACGATATCCTAACCAGTGGCTTAAGCCTCTGATAATAGTCCAAGAGAGTGAGGGGTTATAAAACATGAGAGAGCCCTCGGTGCCCCTGCTGATGAACAGAAGGGCCCCACTGAATTCCAGAGATTTGTGTCACAGCTCCCACCACTGAGGATCACACTCCTCATTATTTTGGTCAGCACCCACAACAAAGGAACATAAAGCAGTGTAAAGTATTGGCCCTCCACTTCTCCCTTTGCTGCAGTAGCTTGGCTTAGCAAAACTGGGGCTAACTGTACAGCCAAATCTGGACTGTGCCTTGGTTATTTAGACCAGATATTGACAGCACAGAGTGGATTGGACCATTGCCTCAGCACTTTCCCAACAAAGATTTTCGACTGCATATATAGCCTTCCCAGCCAGGTAACAAGTGAATGGGACAATCCCTGCAGTGAATGGGACAACTCATGCTTCCTTTCCAAGATATATTTAATTTTGCACCGAGGTACAAAAAATAACAAATTACTAAAGATTTAAAAATGTTAATGTTGCCAGCAAACAGATCAAAGCTGACACAAGAAAAGCAGCCTAAGAGGGGTGAAGGGAAAAGAAGGAACAAAGAGGAAAAGAGCACATGTATATTTAACTGAGTCAGCACGGGCTGGGGGTTGGAGCGGGGGAAAGGAAGGGTTAGAAACCTTGGATTTAGAGGAATAAAGGAGCTGAGGAAGGAGTCATGATCTCATTCCATAACAGGGGTCTGAAAATGAAGGTTGAGGGATTATAGGACATCAGAAGCAGATATGCAAATATGTAGATGCAAACAGGAAAGATGGAAAGAAAAGAAGGAAACTTTCCTAATGAGGTATGCAAATTTTTATTTTTAAAAAAGAGAGAGATTTGCAAAAAAAGAGAGAAAAGAGTTACAGCACAGCTGGAGCAATGGTCACTGTGCAAGGAAAAAATGTGATTGCCTAATTAAGATTCTGACTGTGCAAGAAGCCAATGTGTCTGTATGGATCAGAAATAATTAATCGTCTACTCCCATTAAATCCTCTGATTGCTGCTGAACATCCTAGTTATGTATCCTGCTCTGCTGCCAACCAGGCCAGCTCTGCCCTTGCACTTCAGCCATGTCTGTTGAAATACAGCAGGATTGCAGTTAACCCGGAGGATTAGCAGGCATCACTAGGACTCTGTCCCACTGCTTTGACCAGTTAGTTACAGGCCTTCCTCCACAACCCCCAGCAGAAACCCTTCTGAACCCTTTCAAAACTCAACACACAGTGTTTCCTACAAGGTTAAACAGTGCAGAATGGGCAAGAGATGTAAATTTTTAGGTACTTAAAAATACTTTTACATGCAGGAGTCATGTCAGGTTCCTTAGTTCATGTATCCTGACTCTCCATCCATTGCTAATGCAGTATCCCACAGCACCAGTAGAGTTTATTCCTTTGTTTTGTTTCTTAATTGCACAGTTTCATCACCTTTCAGATCTTTATGAAACAATAAAATAAACAATACAGATTATCCTATAATTTGGCTTTTCTTTATGCTTGGTAAAACAGATGTCATTAGTTCCTTAAAGCATCAACAACAGGAGAGATACTACTACAATATCACCGCCTTCTTGATTAAAACATTGAAGGGAAGGATGAAAAATATGTTTGTGCATATTTAGTGTGCCCAAAATTAGTATATATTTTTCAAAATACTACTGCCATGTACCTTTGTTGCTTTGTTGCGTGCCTTGAACACAGTGGTTGAACAGTAAGAAATCTAACAGGTACTACTGTTGCTAGTAGCAGTGTTTTCATTGAAAGGCTTCATCAAGCATCTTTTGGAACTGTGTAGCCTGGTATCCTGGAAAAATAAGGTTTATATAATCACAGCATCTTGATGTGTACTTATGTACCTCTCTGCCTCACCGTAATAAAGTTTGAGCTTGTTGGCTCATTTCACCCATTGTTAACAGAGGGGTTGGAGAGCCAATTCCTGCTTTCACAAGGAAATGCACTAGCATAAGCTCAAACTTTCTGACGTAGCTGCAAAGCCACAAAGAGAGGTTTTGAATATCTCAGCCACAGAAAAGCCTCAACGAGAGCTTCCACCATTGGAGATACCAAGGGCTCAACCACAATAAACTAGGCTTCCTTTGTTCCACTACTGACAAAGTACTTTGGCAAAGAGTGTAGAGGACTTTCAACATTCTCCTACAATTTCAGGCCATACATTTTAGCAGGGGGGAGGTTTTCCAAACTGTTTACAAGTACTGGCCTAACTACACCAAGGGGAGTCTTGCTTGTAACTATAATGTAAGGAAGTGAGGCTGCTGGAAAGTCCACACTAATAGTGTTGGGCATTTTATGCATTGTCTGGTCTACCCCATGCTTATGATAGGCTCTAAGGGAGGAAAGAAAGAAAGTCTAATGAGCTGCTCTAAATCACATACACTCACTCCACAGCCACAGGGGGCTTTCCCGACAGCAAAAAAATCCAGTGGATGCTCATATTTCCGGTCACACATCTTTCTCTCAGGTCTGTCAGAAGTGTGAGGGATATACCGTGGCAGCACTGGTCACCAGATGGGTGTCCTGAGGAGGGAGGACTCTCAGCTGCTAACATCCACACAGTAACCATCTATCGAGCGCCTGTCAGCTGCCCTCATAGTGTGATTCTAGCTGTGTGTTTGATTGTCCTAAAGAAGCAAGTTATCATTCCCACAACCTCTATGCCTTAAAAAAAATAGAGACAAGTCAGAGATACTTCAGAAGAATTAATATGCTGTCAAGATCTGTGGTCCCACCTGGGTCAAAACACTTTGCCAAACGCAATCTTGAAGAGATTTTAGTTTGGTTAAACAAAACAAAACAAATCAAATGCCCAAAACCTTCAGAAAACGGTTCAAGCTCTCCAATATCCTGTTCTTGGCCATTTCAGAATGGAATCGCTTGTTTTCCACATTAACTGTTATTTGTTTCTGGTTTTATCTTGGTGTAAAGGTTCATCACCCACCCCCCCTGCTCCCAAGAGAGTAAAGACAGCCAGGTTGTCTATGATTGGCTACATTTTCAGAATCATGAGATTAAATTAGCTCTTCCACCAACACTGCTCTTTTCTCATGCAAAAGTGTGAAAGGGAAGCCCAATTTAAAATATTTTCACCAAAGGCATTAATCTGACTTTTCCCCTGCCCTGGTTTGACAGATGCTTTATGAAGAGCTATTGCTGTAGTGACTAGTTAAAAGGAAGACAAATATTACTATGACAAAGGGGATCAGAAGGGAGGAGAAGGGAAAGTATGTTATCATCTCTGTTTGCTTTCCACGCTGTTCATACCCCTCCTTTCGTTATAGGTCCTGCAGTAATGTTCTCCTCCTGTTGCAGAGTGGCAAGCTCTACTGAGAAGAGATAACAGCACTTGCAAGCCTCGGTCTGCAAGGGGAAGCTGCGCATTGCCTGTTCCACCATTCCTTATGCAAGCAAAGCAGTACCTTTTGTGCTTAACACAAAATGCACAAGGATCTCCCAAGGAATGAGGTACACGTATTTAGAAATGCATAAAATAGCCTGAATAGTAATGTAAAAAGTCCCTACTCATACATTCACTAGATGCTTCCAGCAAATTGTAAGACTTACGATACTGAAGGCATGAGACATGCCCACCTAAAACAGCATTGTGCCTCAGAGTTAATGATCTGATCCAAAGCTCACTGGAATTTTTCCACTCACTCTTACAGGCTTTGGATCAATTGCTGGCAAAAATCTAATCCCCAGAATAGCCAAGACAGCCTTCAGTATCATACAAGCCTTCCCCACACAGCCAAACACTCACAGCTGTTTCCAAGTGCACTCTCCAATGTGCAAGTACTAGGTTTATTCAGCACTGGAAGGGTGGAAGAGGGAATATTCATTTCTAAGGAGGGAAGGGCAGGGACTGTCACAATTTCGAGCCTAGTCAACTGAGGTTTAGGAACCTAGAGAAATACAGCCAGCCTCCAGCAGATGAATTCTAACAAAATTTCAGCAAATGGGTACATTATTCATGAAGACAAAAGCCTTTGGAGAAACAAACCCGGAGCTGCTGTAAAGCAGCTATTTTAATCAATAAACCTGTAGCAGAAACCATCTGCATCAGGCCTATTTAAAACCAGCCATTTACAATTTAAAGGCCAAATAACAATCTGTATGCAGCAATTCTGCTGGTTTTTATGACCATTCCCCCTTTTCCCTGCTTAGCCAATGTATTTCTGCAAACTTTCTAATTCAGTCTGACAATAGTTGCCTGTGATCAGGGGAGGGAATAGCTTTAAGAGCTTCCCATTTTGTGCATACATCTCTTCAGAACCAAAAGCAGCATCTCTATTGGGATTTACTCATATATTCT